ATTTTTTTTGTCGAAAATGATTAACCTGGTCGAGATTCATGTCTGGCAGACCCGACCTGCAAGAATTTTTGTCTTTCTACAAGAATACGAGAGCAATAATATCTACCGAGAACAATTTATTGACCTGCAGACCTGCAAAATAGTTATACCCAATTGAATTACATATATTTCATTCATCATCAACCTTACAAACACATTTTTCTTTTTAAAGACTGTGCTGAATTAGAAACATACCACCAACAATCGAAATAGAAAATATGATGATATTTCGAAACGAATACGAGTATTTTAAAATACCTGAAATATGTTTTCCTCCTTTATCAAGAAATGTTATCGAATGAGAATGCAATTGATTCAGAGTGTTAAATCAGTAATGAGTTATATAAGTTCTCTATATAGATCGATAGTCTTGGTAAATGGTATGTTTATGTTATTTATGTACATGTTCGCGAACATTGCCCAAGATTTCTAACCAATATAAAAACAATGACGATGAAGAATATCCCTCAGTGGCTTATTCTCTTCATATTCGTTCTATTCAGTTGAAATACTCAAGTGGAAGATGATTGTTTTGGTGAGTGACTGAAAATGAAATTTTTCATTTCTAAATTGTTAAGTACACGAGAAATTATAGAGGATTTTTTCTGAGTATCAACAGGATATAACAGTCATTTTTTTGATACATTTTGATTTCATTATTCAATATAATTACCTTCGAAGCGATACAACATACAACGATTATGGTGGTCATACAATTTCTCGATAACATTTTAATATCACGATTTGTTTTTAGCCTCAAAACAATTCTCAGTTTCGATGATTAAGTCTTTATCGGCGCTAAACTTCATTGTAGCAAGCACTTTTTTGAGGTCTGAATACATGAAAAGTTGCTGGGGGCCAGATCTGGAGAATGCGGTGGACGCGGAAGGAATTTGAAGCCCAATTCATGGAATTTTGCCATCGTTTTTATTGTCAGAGCCTAGACTATTTCGTCATCGTCAGTAACTTTACAGGGATTTAATATCACCAATAGCACGAACTGCATGTGTGAACTTTTCTAAATGATTTTTTGGTAGGTGTTCTGATTGAAGTGTTTCTATCAAAGAGATTTTCAATAACAGTTGTAGAAAAAATAATTTTTAAAGAATTTGATTTCTAGGTAGCCGTGGAAATATCAAGCTCATGACAGTTTGGTGACTTTTATAAGTAATTGATAAATGGTTATTGTTATTTTCTGGTGTCACCGCCTCATTTGGACGTCCACTGCTTTCTGCATCATCGGTGTCTCTGCGACCACGTTTGAAGTCGGCAAACCAACGTTTAATTGTTGTTTTTGATGGAGCAGTCCTTATGATACTTTTCAAGCCATTGCTTCTCTTGACCGGTATTTTTCTCATCAAGAAACAGTGTAAAATCAAATCCTGACTAACGTCATCTATGTATGAGGCCAGAGACTATTCAGTCCAAGTAGTAGAACCATAGTATAACGATATGGTAGAACTGTGTTTATTTTGTCCAGTTCGGCTGCTTTATGTTATGATAGTCGTTTTATTGTCTCGGTTAATTCATCAGAGTCCGTTAGCAACCTAGTGAGTTTCCCTGTCCCTAATGGCTGCGAGTTCATGCCTCCTAATTTTCACGTTTTTCTCGTTGTTCATTTATTAGGTTGAAGCTCAATCTATGGGCACTCTGCCAATGTTCGCCGAACATTACCGTCAAACTTGTTCTTTCTCCATGTTAGGAATTGTCCATTAAACAACGAAAACTCGTCGATGATCAACTCGTGGAAGTCTAGAGCTTTGATTGTTTGTATAAAATAGATTTCAACACATTCTTGACCTAGACCCAAAACTTCTGAAAAATAATTGAGAAGACGAATTCAACTGAATTGGATATTACTATTTTGCAGGTCTTCAGGTCAGCAAATTATTCTGAGTAGACATTGTTCTCGTAATCTTGTGGGAGGACAAAAATTCTTGCAGGTCGGGTCTGCCAGACATGAATCTCGACCAGGTTAATCTNGGTCATACAATTTCTCGATAACATTTTAATATCACGATTTGTTTTTAGCCTCAAAACAATTCTCAGTTTCGATGATTAAGTCTTTATCGGCGCTAAACTTCATTGTAGCAAGCACTTTTTTGAGGTCTGAATACATGAAAAGTTGCTGGGGGCCAGATCTGGAGAATGCGGTGGACGCGGAAGGAATTTGAAGCCCAATTCATGGAATTTTGCCATCGTTTTTATTGTCAGAGCCTAGACTAGCTCGATTAACTACACCTGTCGATCATCGAAAATTATTTTGTGGGCTTTTTTGATGTTCTCGTCGGTAACAGCCTCTTTGAGGCGTCCACTACGTGCATCGTCCTCGATTCTCATTTTACCTCGTTAAAACTCAGCAAACCACTTCTCAATAGTTGATTTTCCTGGTGCAGAGTCCCAATAATGTTTATCAAACCAAGCATTCAACAGTTTTTTTCGCCAAAAAGCAACGCTTCATCAACACACGAAGTTTCTTTTTATTAATTTTTTTACTAACTAAAGTTGCTACACTCAAAATATTTTATCCCACAAGCTAATAGTCCAACAGCTGTGTAATTTATACACGTGTCTTTTGAAGGTGAGGGTTATCTAATAATCATATGGATTCAGTACAAGTAGCGCCATCTGTGTGTTAGTCTATGAACTTTTCAGCCCATCTAGTACATTCCTTGTAAAAACAGAAATGATTTAGATTTTGAACAAATTGAATACGCAGACAAAATCGGTCACCCCTAAAAAATTTCCGTAATTATAGTATGTACTCTCAACATCAAGATACATATAAGGTTCTATCAAGGAATATAGTCCAAGGCATGGAATATAGTGCATCTCTTCGACTTCATTTCTTCTACTTTCCAAACCACCCCATATTTTCTCAAATAGGAAAAGTTGTCGATACGTCGAATAAAAGATATTTTCTCTGATTCTCCGTTTGGATACCAGGATTGATATTACACTTCTGATACTAGAAGGCAGACAATTGAAAAATGTCTGCTAGAAATAGCGATTTTTTAAATAATCTTATATGATATTATTGTAATTCGATTAGATTCCATTTTCTTGTTGAGTTATTGTGACATTGAGAGTCAGTTTTTTGTATTTCCGTATTTTCTTGAGTTGCATCAAGTCATAGAAAATGGTGTTGGAGTCTTTTACTCAGTTAATCGATTTGAAATTGCCAAATTAATGCTTGGTCGATGAGAACTCCTAAAAACTTTGTGGTTTCTGAAGAGTATATCTTCAAATTATTTATAAAAAGATATATAGGATGTTCCACGGATTTTTTTTGAAAGAACTGAACTTCCTTTCGTTGTATGTTTAACACCTATATGCATATTTGCATTAGGCACGATTATTCAAATCAAAATAAGCTAGAAAAAACTCAACTCGTTTGGTTGAGCTTAAAACTGACGACTTGAAAATATTCCATACTGTGACATGTACCAACGATTCACTCCTCGTACAAAACGATAGTGATAATTTTGTGAAATTCTTCGGAAAAACTCTCTATTTCTAAATCCTAAAAAAGCCTCTCTATCAAGTTCACAAGAAACAAAAATATTTGCCACCACCAATATCACATAAACAGGCAGCAGCTAAAAAAAACTGAAGTCAAGGACTTGGGAGTATTATATGGCTCTCAACTATTATTTGACTCGCATATTAACTATATTGAAAAAAAGCTAACAAAGCTCTTGAATTTCAGATCAGGACTTGTCACGACTTCAAAAAATACTAACTCGGTTCGTACACTTTTCATGGCTTATGTAAATAGTCAGCTCAGTTTTGCTTCAGTTATTTGGAACCCCCTTTATATCTTGTATTTCGAAAGACTATACGAAGCAAATTCAACAGCTATATCAATAGAAAATTCTTTCATAATCTCAAAGATTTATTACAAATTGCAATACAACTCAATCTGATATCTTTGGCGGATTGACGCCAAATAGCTGATATTAAGTTCCTATATAAAATAATGAATAATTGTTCCGACAGCAGCTCTATATTGAATCAACTTTTAATTAATGTACCTCTGTATAATACCAGAGGAACATATTCATTCCAAACAAATCAAAGTAAAACTAATTACTATTTGAATTCTCTCCTAAATGGGTGTTGTGAATCTTACAACTCTATTTCCAAATCAATAGATATTGATTGATTGATTTTATAATTCCCTCGCAACCTTCACCACACATCTCTCAAACGTTCATGTATCATTTTCATATTTCACTATTGTATTTTGCACTGAACTTGAACAACAACTGTTCATAACACGATATTCAATATTATGTAATACAATCAAATCATGTACTGTTATTTTCACCTCATCATTTGTGAATACACCCTTTGGGTTTGTCCTGTTTTGTATCCCACTGGAAATAAATAAATAAATCTAGGTACTTCGAAAAAAAGTCTTATTAAAAATTTGCCTTTAAAAATTCAATTGCCCTAGATCGAAATACTGTTTGCGTTAGCTCGTAACATCAATCTTCAGGCACCTAGACTCATTGCTTTCCAATTCGTTGCAGGTTATTTTCAGCCTCATCGTCAGCGTGGTCTACTCAGCGCCCGGATATGATCTGAACGAATTAGACCTATATCACTCTCCGCTTCTCAAAGCAGCGCCAATCTTGACGACTCCCATAATAAAAGAACCTCTGCATCTGGCACCCGCACCCGTTTATGCTCCAGAACCCATCTACGCACCAGCACCCGTAATCAAAGCAGCCCCAGTCATTGCTCCAGCGCCTGTCATAAAAACTGTGGCAGTTCCTGTAGTGAAAACTGTAGTACCAGCAACTAGCTACGCTAGCTTCACACAGTACCATGTTGCCCATCCTGCAGCTGTTGTGAAGGTTAGTTGTGCAGTGTGATTGGTCTGAATTATATGGATTTTTTTATTAATAACTTCATTCAAAATTTGACCCTGGCATCCATCTCTGCATCTTGGTATTCAAAAAAATTGACTGTGGTTAACACCATAGCTGTGTAATTTGTGATATTGCAGGATTTTAAAATAAACCGTCGTATACAGAATGCTGTCTATTTATGGTTTTAGCAATTTTTTTTTCGTAGTCCCAATTTTAAAAATTGGGTAACAAATTAAAAATCCACTTAGATGGACATGACTTCAAATCTAGATGTATTTTTTAATGCTGAAAAACTTTTCTAAATAACATTTCCGGAAATTTTTCAAAATAAGAGTACTTTACTCCTGTATCGAAATCGTATATTACGTGTGTTTTACTGTATTTCGTTGGTGCATGTTTAGTTTTAGGGGATGCACAAACTTTTATCAACAATAACTTTTTATCGAAAAACCCCTTATAAATAAGTTTCCAATATGGTGCATACTTTGGGGATGACACTGTATATTAAATGTATATTTTTCAACAAAGGCGAAATATGACAGTTTTAAAGGTAGTTTATGTCCAAATGTGATATTTACAACATATTTCAACTGGATAAAGTTGAAATAGTTTGTTACTGTTTGAAAAAGTGAATTTTTGAATGCATATTATAATTTTTTCATTAGATAATTTTACTCTATTCAGTTGAACAATTTTTAATCTTGATTTGTAATACTTTTTGACCCAAAATTTTTCCTCAGAAACATATTTCATGAATATGCCTCATACAAATAAACTTTGCAACCTCTGTGACCAATTTTTATAGGTTTTTATTGAGTTATTTTTTATCTTGATCGAAGTAGGTATTGAGGCCAAAATTGATTTTGAACGAAGCTATCTATACAAAAAAATCCATATGATGTAAACTTTACTGATCTCACTGTATTACTATTTCAATTATTGTTAGCATATTTAGTTGAATTATCTTAATATTCGCAAGTTTCTTCAAATTCGTTTTTTGTGGAGACTAATAGTTTTTGGCGGATATCTGAAAATTTATCAAACTTTTTAGTTAAATTACGCATATTTGAGTTCCGTTGAATCCAAACTTTATAAAAATTTATGATAAGGGAATTCAACATTTTTATTAGGTTTTTACATAACGGTTCAGAAAACTCAACACATGCTTTACTATGGTTTCTTTAGGCGTGTCTAATGATAAACTAAACTACACATAGCTTGAATATTACTGGAGTTTTTTCCCATCACCAAACCGTTATTTTAACACCTCGACACGTGTTTCGATCACCAAGTGATCATCTTCAAGAGGAAGATTAAAACAGTTTTAATCTACATCTTGAAGATGATCACTTGGTGATCGAAACACGTGTCGAGGTGTTGAAATAATGGTTTGGTGTTGGGAAAAAACTCCAGTAATATTACTACACCAAAGGTTCCAAACAGTGCACCACAAATACACATAGCTTCTCATAGTTATTCAAATTTGCGTCTGTGAATGGAAAGAGACAACAAAATAGGTTAAATTGCGAGAAAGTTTACTATTTTTGAATTCTATTCAATGACACCAAACAATTGACCCTATCTTATTCAATTCTGTAGATACACAGGAAAAACTGAAAATTTCAAAATTTTATTCTGGACATTTATACTTTACAAGTAGACGTTCGGCTTGGCACACCCTAAATCGCTATTATTTTGTGCACACACACACATCATCTGTTGCAAGACATTTCACTCTGCAATTGGGTCAAACCAAACTGTCATAGCGGTTTTCGTTTTTGAGGAACTCCTCTAATTTCCTTTATTCATTTATTTATTTATTCAGTTCACCATTCAACATTCAAAGCCGATTACAGAATGGGAAAACGAAATTCGGATAATACAAAAACGAGTACTCGTATAAACGGTTTGAATACTAACGTTAGGTAAGGATAGGTTGAGCTAAAGAAAACTTAGGAAGAAAATATTCATAAGCAACTTTACCCAGTAGAAAAATACTATTTTAACAATTAGGAAGTCTTCTTATGTTAGCAGGTCCACAATAAAATATCTATAACGGCTTGTATAGTCATGAAGGGCACCAAAATTCAAATTTGGTACTCTTATCACCATTGGATATTATCCACTTGTGTCAACGCTTCTTTCAATCCTCTGAACACTTTTTTAACTTGATAATTGGCCTTTAACATGTCATCCATGCTCGCAAAACGACGCCCATCGAAGTTCTCTTCATTCATGGAAATAGAAAAAAATCACACGGATACATGTCTGCGGAACATGGAGGCTGGAGCATCGTACTGTTTCAAGCCAAACAATCACGAACAACCAATGAAATATGAGCAGGTGCATTATCGTTGTGCAAAAGCCATACATTGTTTTTACACAAATCCAGTTGATGTGCGGGGCGTTCGTCATCTCCAACGTCTTCACTAAATTCTTTGATCCATTTGATTTAATATACGAAAATTGCCGGGCTCTTAAAAACACGTCTATTCTCAGCGGCTACCAGAGACAAGGTAAACAATGAATACAGCTGACATTATATACTACTTCACGGGCACGTATCCCAACATAACAAAAAATGACAATCGGGCTCTCCTAACCTGTTAAATATAAAAATGTCCGTTATTTTTTAACATACCTCGTATATATGCCGACAAACATGATGTGAGATGTCAGAGCATCATCTTTATATGAAAAGGAAATTCCTACATGAGTACAACGGTTATCCAAAAGGACCACCCGGAATCTAGACAGTGGTTGCTCATGTGGGATGAACTGCATCACATTTGGAACTAATATACTTAACAAATCGCCTCCCTATATTTTCTAATCGATTAATGTGCATATTGTGACCAGGTGTCTACAAAAGACTTCTAAATTCTCTTTTCAACTTATTATGATATGATGTCGTCGAGCGATTTTCGGCCCATTTTTCTCTACGAATTCAAATTCAAAGCACTGTCGAAACATCCCAAAAAATTAACTAGGCATTTGGCTAAGATAGTGTTAATGAACGCACTGTTCGACGCAGGTTTGCGAAATTTCATTCCGGAGATTTCAGCATCGAAGATCAGCCCCGAAGTGGTCGACGTTCTGTAATCTAGGACGTGGATTTGAGGACCCTGGTGGAGACCTATCACATATGATGAGTGGGATGGCGGAAGAACTGGCCGTCAGCTCCCATGCGGTTTTTGATGGTTTAAAACGCATTGAGAAGGTCAAAAAGCTCAAAAACTGGGTGCTCCACGATTTGAACGATTGGCAGAAATTGTCACGTTCCGAGGTGCAACCAAAACGATCCTTTTTTGGATCGAATCGTCACGTGTGATGAAAAGTGGATCCTATACGACAACAGGAGACATTCAGAACAGTGGTTGGCCAACAATGAGCCACCCGGGCACTTCTCAAAGGCGAAAACACACCAAAGGAAAAGACCATGTTTACTGTATGGTGGTCAGCGGCTGGTGTGATTCACTATAACTTTCTGCAACCGGACCTGAACATCTCAGTAGAGACTTACTATGAGGAAATCGACGAAATATACCGAAAATTGAGTCAGCCGGCCCGGTCTGCACTGGTCAACAGAAGAGGTCCGATCCCACAAATCACCGTCCGATAAATAAAAGAAATGAGCGTCGAAGTTCTGCCTCACTCACCATACTCAACAGACCTCTAGCCAACTGACTAGCATCTTTTCAAGCACTTCGATACGTTTCTCACCGGTACAACATTAGCCAGACAGGACCAGGCAAAAACGGCCTTCGTCGATTTAATCGCATCACGAGCACACAATTTTTATGCAGACGGAATCAATCAGCTTGTGTTACGATGACAAAAGTGCATTGTATAATGTCCTCCACTGCGTCCTCAATATTTTATGTTTTTTTTCCTCAACGGTTAAATATTGAAAAATGTATACAGTACAGAGCTTACATTCTATTTTTATAAACATTTCTGTTGAAAGATGTTCCTAAATCAAACATTTATGCAAAACGCAATATGGCGTGACTTGTGTGTCACTTTAATGGTCAATATAGGTGAGCGATCAGTGTTGTCATGCAAAACTGCCTAGAAATCGTTTCTTGTTCGTAAATTACATAAAGGAAGGTAATTGCTCATCTATTGTACGAGTAAATATACTTTTTTTATAAAAGGATTCATTTTTCAGGCGCGTCCTTGTGCTATTTCAATAAATCGTCTGTCCAGCACGTACACTTTCATACAGTGTGCACGTAAAGGTTGGCATAATTTAATATTCACCAAACGCAATTATTCTCAGATAGGTCGATTATCAAATTCAATTTGCTGTGTTATCGAAAATACTTTCATTGAACAGGGTGATACATATCGGTGTTCACATGAATACTAATTTCAGATACTGGTATGAAATCCTTACGGGGTAGTAATATTGTCAAAATTTAAAAAATACATCTATTGCTAGTAAATTATTGGATTCAGTTGAAAATATTTCGTCATGAAAACTGACCCTGTACCCTATAAAAAATCTAACGAGGTCGAGATTCATGTCTGGCAGACCCGACNCAACAGACTGTTGGTTGACACTGGAAGTCACAGCATTCTGGAAATGATCTCTGACTTTATGCCTCCAACTGTCAACTACGAACGGCCTTACAAAGTACTGTTTCCGAGTAGAGAGGATTGGATCCTCCGGGAGAAGGAAATATTAAGAGCAGACAGTTGTTGGTTCACAGATGGATCAAAAACACCTTCCGGTTTTGGTGCAGGTGTTTTCAGTCGCCGACTCAGGACAGAGATATCAATTTGCCTAGCAACCTATGCGACTGTATTTCAAGCGTGAATTTACGCTGTTGAATTGTGTGCGGAGAGATTGGGAGAATCCAACCTCATACATAAGTCAATAAAAATATTCTCGGACTGTCAAGCGGCGTTGGAGACTCTTGGCTCGTACCGAGCAACGTTTAAATTGGTAGCAAATTGCCAAAAACGACTCTCCTCGATAGGAAGACTTAACAGATTGTTTCTGGTTTGGCCATACTGGCCTGGAAGGCAATTAGGCTACTGACTCCTTTGCAAAGGGAGTCTTATTATCTGACCTGAAAGACCACTCACCATACAAACTAATCAGCTTCGTTGAGAAGCTGGGGTTATTTGATCGAGTGTGAATAGATGTGAGCCACAATAATCCCTAGCGGGTTGCGGTGGAGGGTCGAAGAGACCCACTCACTTTGGAACTAACCTAACCTAAGTATTAAATTTTAATTTTATTTGTTCTTTCAGAGATTTCAAATCATAATAATAATAATATTTATTCATCCTCAAAGACGTTGACAAACGTATAGGGTAGGTCAGTATTAAGCACATAAAAATCACATCAAACGATAAAATTGTAATTTCACAAACTACACTTAAACGATTTGATCTCCACTAACTTTATTGAAAAATAATCATAACCTATTTAACCTATTTTGGACAACCAACGGAAAAAGTGGCTTCATTTTTGAGAAATAGAGATATTAAAATTGCATATAGAACAAGTAATACGTTGGGAAAGCTAGTTAAAAATAATAAAGATAAGACATCTAAATTCGTCTACGACCACCACACAATACACGAGTTTTTGTTTGTCTGTCAAATTTTCTGAAACTCGATAAACAGTTAATTTTTGATGACCGGTTAACCGGTTTTTAGCTACAGTAGCTCAAAGTTAGAGAAGAGAATACCAACTCAGAATAAGTGGGATTCTAATCAAAGGTTATGAAATATTCCGAATGAGTTTAAAATTTTGAAAATACTCTATTTTGTTTCAGACAGTTGTAGCTCCCGCTCCCATTCTCAAGAGTTACATTGCCTCACCTCTTTCGTATGGCCACGGATACCACTGACTGAATAAATATTACCCCTACCGAAAATGAAACCTTATAGTGATTAATGTTATTTATTTCGCCGCATTGTAGTCCGTTTAAGGAAGAGTTAATAAAAATGTTCGCAATTTTGAATTGAATTTCTGTACGACACCATTCTTTGGTATATGTATGTTTGAGGGATATGTATGTGCAGAACAACATTGAAACACTTTTTTCATGTGTCCACACTTGAAATAGCTGAATAGATAAGTATATGTAATATGAGTGTTAAGGTATTATTTTGTGAGTGAAAACGTTTGCGAAACGAGCGTAGCGAGTTGATCAATTTCACGAACAAAATAAAACTTACTTTTAACACAAATATCATACAAAGTTTTTTGAACAACCGTCTTGTTTTCATAATAAAATAAACAATTTAATATTTCTGTAAGAACACATTTTGACATCTCTCGTTAGTTAACTATTTTCATATTATCGCATTTGCTGTGAAGTGGCCGTGTCAGGTGAGGCCGAATCACCTGGTTACCAACAAACAGTATTGTTTACAGCTCAAGCGTTTTATTCAAAGTCACATTTAAAGTTCTTGCTGGTGTTTAATGTCTTGCATAATGAAGAACAATAGTGAGGAATTGTGTGTTTCTGACGATATTGAAGAGGCTGCAAAAAGAGCTTCAATTGAATTGTTCCAAAAAAATCGGCTCAGCAGTACGACATCGCATATTCTGATTTTCTTAGCTGGTGTAGACTTGAAAACGTCGAAGGAAATTTCAGCGGAATCGTCTTCATAGCCTATCTAGAAAAGAAATCAAAAATATGGAACTCGGTAACTTTGTAGAACAAGATTTCAATGATACAGTCGACTGCGCTAGTTAAAAATGGTGTCAATACAAGCAAATATTTTAAGGTAATAGCATTCTTGAAACAGAAAAATGAATGTTATAGGCCCAAAAAATCAAAAACTCTTACGTTTGAACAAGTCCAGAGGTTTATAAATGAGGCGCCAGATGACAAATATTTGATGATAAAAGTAGCTACTATTTTCGGAATATATGTAGCCGGCCGGCGTGAAGAGCTGTGCCATTTATTAATAGAAGACATTAAATTGATGGATAAATCATTGATTGTTCAAATTCCAAATATAAAAACGAAAATAGGTCGTTCTTTTTGAATTATTGGAAAGAACATTGACTATTTTTATTAATACGTTACATTGCGCCCTTCTGTTATCAATCATCAACGTTTTTTTTTTGGAATAATCAAAATATGAATGCAGTGCCAACCCAGTTGATATAAACACGTTTGGGTAAATGCTCTCTACCATTGCCGAGTTTCTGAACCTCCCGGAACCAAAGAAATATACAGGCCACTGTTTCAGAAGGTCTTCTTCTTCTTTGCTAGCAGAATCAGAAACAAATATAACGAATATTAAGAAGCACGGAGAATGGAAGTGTACAAGAGTAGTTGAGGGTTACTCGCTATTTCTTATAAAAATGCTATTGCTGAAAGAATTATCCCAACAGCTAGATCCAGCGTTACATCATCGTCCTCTTCACTTCAAGAATTAAATGTTAATGCCCATGAAATTGTCAACTAGTTCAAATATATTACAAGTCTCTTTAACATCGTAAGGTATTGACATCAGCAGTTGTTCTAATTATACTTTTCATATTAATGTTCATAAATAATAATATTAATGTAATTAATGGATTACTTTGAAAATTCTCTCACACATTCATAGAAAATCTGTAAATGAATTTTCTGAAACATATTAAATGAATAAAACACAGGTGGTTCTGTGATAATTTCATTCTACGAACTGCATTCTTGCATTATACGTTGACATCAACCCCTTTTCAGTTTTCATAAGAATTTAAGAACCTCTAATAAATAAATGTGGATTTTTATGAGCGCAACATGTTATTGCAATGCTTGTAATGAATGTGGTTTCATCTCTGAATGAAATGCTTTGGAGACAATATCTAGTCGCCTTCCTCGTAACCAGGTTCAGAAGTATGTAAAATTTTGGCTTAATAGGTTTTAATTTGTGTTTTTTTGGACAACGTCATTATCTGCTTTATTCTGAATGAAAGGAGGTAACGGTAAATAAATGATTGTGATGAAACTCCATTTCTAGGTCTTTCGAAGAGTTCAAGATAAATAAAATAAAAAAATGTTGAACGGTTTCATTGAAAAAAAAATATGTAGATAATGTACTAAAAGCTAAAAAATAATTAGTAAGGTCCTAGGTAGCAGTCATCACACCACTATCATTAGCGTAGCGCGTTGCGTAGCACAACCTAAGTAAATATGTAAATACTACGCCCTACGATTTTATTATTTTTTATCTGATCAATACCGTAGATTGCTGAGGAGAGTGATGTGATGACTGCTACCTAGGACCTTTTGAATTATTTTTTAGCTTTCAGTACATTATCAACATCATTATTATCTTTTTTTCAATAAAACCGTTTAACATATTTATTTTACTTATTTTATTTTCAAATTTCAAGTTTCTCATTCTATAGCTGAGTCCATTTTGAATTTGCATCTTTTTCGAAGTGTACTACTATTCTACTAGTGAGGTTGTTGTGAAATAATATGTAATCCACCATTTTGTAGCTGAAGCCATCTTGAATTTGATTTTTTCCAAATTGTGCTACTATTCTACTGGTCAAGATCTAACTAGTCATTTGATACCCATATTGAGGTAATTGTGAAACAATATGAATTCCGTCATTTTGTAGCTGCGGTCATCTTGGATTTACAATAATACAGATGTTATTGAATTGTATCGTCATCAAAACTAAATGCGTGTAAAAAATATCTGATCAATCTGTCAACATGAAGGGGGTCAAACTTCAATTACTAAATTTGATATAAAAAAAAACATGGCAAGCTAAATGAAACCGTTTAATAAAACAAATGTAGGCATACTTACTGGCTTGAAGGCAGGTCCTGAATTTATTCCCTTTACATCATATATTTCTTTTTTTTTTCATTCATGCATTCATTCAATACATACTTTGAGTAAGAATGATTGGTTACTACCTAATTGGCTCATTTTTTCTTCTAGCAAGATCAACATGTGAATCCTACATGAACTTTTTGCGAGATCATTAACCCATTTTGTTAGAAGAAGTGCCGGTACTTGTAAAAGGCAACATGTGGTTTATGCACGACGGGGCTCCAGCTCATTTTAGAGTTCTTGCTCGTCAGCATCTCGACATCACCTACCCTAATCGCTGGATTGGACGTGCAGGACCCCAAAATTGGCCAGCTTGCAGTCCTGATATGAATCCTCTAGATTTTTATTTATGGAGTCTTCTGAAGTCTCTTGTTTATAAAACTCCTGTACTAGATGTGAATGACTTGAGAAATCAAATAATTGACAATTGCAATGTCATAAAGAATACTCCAGGTACTTTTGAACGTGTCAGACAATCAATGACAAATCGATTGCAGTCGTGTATTTTATCAGAAGGAGAACATTTCGCTCATTTACTTTTGGTTACTTATTTATTTATTTTTGGATAGTTTACTTTTGATTTTTATTTGATGTTGTCCATGGATAGTTTTTAGTAGAAGTGATTTTTTTCTAGAAAACGAAGTTTGATATGTAGAANAAGAAAAAGCCTTCCTGAAACAGCTACTTTCATATAAACATTGAAATACACGAAATACAAATTCTTTCGAAATAAACACTGAATTCTCTTATACTACAATTCAGTGTTCATATAAAAGTATTTGTTTCGAAATAATTTTTTTTCTGTGTAATTCAGTGTTTATATGAAAGTAGCTGTTCCGGGAGGGCTTTTTTCTTCCAGTTTGTGTCTGAAAGTTACAACATTGCATGATCTACACATCCATGTATAGAGTTACTTATTTTAAAACTGATTAATTCCTTCCTTTCTTTGGAAGATTCCCATATTTTTGTATCAAGATGGAGTATTATAAAGCCAACTCATTTCAAAGAAAGTGACAAATCTACTTATTTCACGATGGGTGACATTATTTAAAATTTTTGTAGGATTCTCCCAATCATTCCATGTTGGTTTCAGTGAGGAAAGTATAGAAGCAGCAAAACTCAGATAAAGAATTCTTGATATCGTTCTCCTCAACATCGTTATCCGCGTTTAACGAGTTGGCAGACTTCCCAACAAGTACTTGAATTCCGAAGGATGTGGCTCCTTAAACAGAACGGTGTAATTCTAATTTGCATTATTTATATGTTTATAAAAGTTTATCTAATCGATACCACACCGAGGATCGATCACTGTATCGTATGAGCTATTGTGTCAATCGTACGAATAATGTTTGGGCAAGTACATCGACGTTTTCCGCCGCTGTTTCTATTATCTGTTCGAACTTTTACCGCGAAACATGTCACCGGAAAATAAAATTTGGTAGTTTGTGAGACACCATGGATAACTATGCGTTTCAGCCTGACGATATTAAACATCATCTTTTAATACTACTGACAACCATTAAAAATGTCACTTTTGATGACAGTTGTACAAAAAATTATTTTTTTTAACAAAACAAAAGTTACTACCCAAAAATCATCAAGGCGCTCTAAGAACGCTGGAGATTAAATTAATTCGAAAACACGTCATCAGGAAGTTATTTCACGTAAACGCAGTTCTCCAAATGAAAGAGTTTCTAAACAGTGAAGTTCGAGGTGTACTGAGTTGAACCTCTAAACGATGAGCAGCCACAGTCCGTCGCGTATATCTGATATGTACCCCTCTTGATGGAATCAAATGTGCCAAGTCACTTGAACACCTCCCGTGAAAGTATATATAGAAGAGAGGCAAACCTCCAACCTTTCTTCGATGATCCAGACTATCAAGGTTGCAAGTTCGTGTCTCTAATCAGGCAGATGGCTCTTTTCTGGACAGAATCAAGCAGCTTCAGGGTATGCTTAGGGGCGGAGCTACATACATGTGAACAATACTACAAAGGAGGTCTAATCTGAGCCATTTACGCTGAAGCAAAACTTGCTTCGGCGTAAATGGCATAGTATAAACTTATGTTTCAAATCTAAAAGCATACGCGACGTACAGTTAATGCATCTCTCTCAATGCCGAATCTGGTGACTTGGTTGAGTCATCAGATAATAATTGATATTTTGT